AATTTATTAAATTTGCACTCATACTCATATACAGTGCGGTCCAATTGCTTCAAGTTCAAAAATTCTTGTTTCATAATCCTAATAAACTGGTCTCCTATATATTTGTTTTTGAACTCTTTTAAGAACAAGGACCAGGTCACTTCATCACTTGTCATTCTCAGAGTGACGTTTATCTACCAGACTCTCGCTTGCCCACGAAGCAAGGAGATCACTCCATCTAACTTCTCTACATTAGAACAGTGGAGACCATCAAACATAATTTTTACATCAATAAGCCAAATGTCCGCAATAACAGGACCTTCTTCAGCTTCGCCTTTAAACTCTTCAACTCCTTTGCAACATTCATTCTCGGAGTTGAAGTAGCAGGAGGTTGGAAACGTGTCAATACCGTATCTAATGTTCTAAAGAACACATCTTGATCAATTACAGGCACTCCAGAAGGTGCTTGTTCTTCATCTTGCCTGGTCAGGGCAGGTGAATTACTACTTTCAGCGGGCCTATCATCTCCCGCTTCACTTCTAGAGCTACCATGTACGTACATCTATAAGAACATAACCATATTGTTCTATTAGCAAAACAACATACTTACTATTAAATCAGATCAAAAGTTTTCATTATTTTGTTGGCATGATTACTTTATAAGACACTCTAGACTCCGATTTATACCGAGAATCAACTAAACCGTAGCTCTGATACCATTAAATGTAACACCCTCAACCCGTACCCGACCCAGATACGAGTCCGAGGTGTCACATTGACTTTTCAAACTTTGACTATTGATGAAAAATCAAAGAAATTTAAAACTTTCATTAAAATAACATTGTTACTTTACACAAGTTAACCAAAACAAGACAAAACTGATTAGAGCATTTGTAACAGACATTTTTCTTACATGCCAACCATATACACGACAAAAGACATACTTTATCCGTTACTTCTGATCTGATCTTCTAGCAGTGTTGCTGTTCTTGCAACCCTATTTCCACTCTTCCTGATTCTTAGTACCTACGTGTAATCACTTACACGCTAAGTCATAGACTTAGTGAGACATATAAATATAACAATAATGCATTCATTATGAATACGAACATGCAATCTATTCATTCAATCCTGTCGTATACAATTCAATGTAAACAATAATAATGTGATAACATATAACTATAACAATGTAATTACCTTTGATAACCTTTTATAGGCCCATATACATTTTTTAGAACTCAAGGTATTCGAGTACATTGAGGTTGTGCACTATGCTATCACCACAGCTCGTATGGATCCCACTAGGGGCTATGAAATTTGTCCCGAAGGACCTATGAGTGTATTTGTCCCGAAGGACCACTCCTTAAGAACCATATACATATTCAGTGGATCAGATCTGTCTCAAAAGACATTGTAAATGTTCCAAAGGATACATATACGTCCCGAAGGCCCACATAAAACCCTCGACTCTTGGCATGCCAACTATACCTATAGCTCTCATATCGTATACCATGGGCATTATTCTTATGTTTCATGTGTTCATGTCATTTCTCTTGTGATCACATAGCTCATATCACTTACCATATCACATGTGCATTTGGGTCTTTTCACATATATCGTTTATCAAATCATATGAACATATATACGTTATGCATTTATCATAATAATTATCATGTATGCATGTTCATAACTATTGTGCTATGAAAATTAACATAGGAATTAGACTTATCACAAGTCTTATTCCCTTGTACCATACTTCTAATATGTACTCACCTTAGCCTTGCTTGACTCGATTCTAATCTTTAATTGTTCCGGAATGAGATCACGTTCTAAATCTACATATTAATATATTGATACATATCAGTATACTAATTGATATATTCTAAACTATCATTCCTTAGGCTAATAAGAAAACTATTTTTATCTTTTAATGAAGGCATGCATCGATACATCCCTTGACAAGTGCATCGATGCAATATTCATGCATCGGTGCATAAATCCTATTCGATGTTTGTATTTTAAGCATGTGCATCGATGCACTCCTTATGCATCGATGCACTGATTGCATTCGATTTTCATTTATTTGAGAGTGCATCGATGCACATTGAAGATGCATCGATGCACACAGCCCATAATTTACATTTTAAGCACGAATTCATTCTCTTTCAGCTTAATTCTTCATCTTTCACCTCCTTTAATATTCCTAACTTTCATATACATACTTAAACTCACTTCTACTCCATAATCACTTCTTTAAACTCAAAATTCTAACTTCTATATGAAATCCAAGAATCATACTAAATTTTCTACTTGTTCTAAATTCAATTTCATCACTTCATATCCCTTAATTAAGTGGATGACAAGTCAAATTTGTCTTCCAATATGAGTAATGAACTCTATTCTAAGATTTCATTCAAGAACTCAAAATCTTTTATCTCTTATATATCTTTCATCTTGTTGTTTAAGAACAAATTAAACTTTCCTTAAGCTTAATTATCATCTAGTGATCATAACTCAACCTTTAAATCAACAAATAATCAAGAAATCACAAACTTACCTTTGAGTTTAGAGATACGGGAGGAAGAAGAAGAAGAAGAGAGTTTCCTAGATAACTCTTTCTTTTCCCCCACGTGATTCATTCTTATAAAAGGGAAAAAATATATTTCTTATCAAATAACCAATTTGCCCTTTAATTCATTCAATAATTACCAAACAACCTTCAACTATATTCTAATAAGTCATTAAGCTATTAAACTATTTTATTTTTATCACCAAATTTCAAAAATTCTCATTTTAGTCACTGACTCGGATTTCGGGATGTTACATCTTAGTTGAATTCCGACAGTCTCCTTGATAGCTTTGAGAATTTCAACTGTATTTCTAGAGTTTCCTTTGAACAACCTTCTGTTTCGTTCCTCCCATAGATAATAGAGAAATGCACACCATGCAAGTTTCAAAATATTGATAAGTAGGGATTTACATTTCCAAGCATGAGAAGCCGATGCTAACAAGTTGTTCCATGACAAAGTATGTGACCTTAATCCGGAGAGATGCAGAATGGCCTTCTAAAGGGAATCCACTAGTGGACATTCTAGGAACAGATGGTCTCTTGTCTAACGATCCTCATTGTGCAGAACACATAAGCCATCGGTTATAATGCCCATTTGTTGAAGCCTATTCCTGGTGGGTAGTCTGTCCAAGATAGCCATCCAAGCAATCATGTTGTGCTTTGGTATGTGTAGAGGAAACCAGATTAGATTATGCCAAATAACTTTGTCCATCTCTACTCTGTTCTCATCCCATATTGCGCGAGTTGTCATTGCTCCTGTAGAAAAAATAGTTTGTGCTTCTCTTTTAAGGTTTAGCAGTTTTCTGAAGCTCCAACTAGCATTAGTTCCACATTCTGAGTGCCAGAAGTCTTTATCTCTTAACACATAGGATTCGACCCAAGCAACCCATAGTGAGCCCTCTCCCGCTAGGATGTTTCTAATGAGCTGAATCATACACGCTTTGTTCCATGTTTTTAAGTCCTTTAAGCCAAGCCCTCCTTCAGATTTCGAGTGACATATCATTTTCCAGCTTACTCTAGCTCCAGTAGCAGCCGTGTCAGAACCTTTCCAGAGAAAACGAGAACATAGTTGCTTAATCCTATTTATAATAGACTGTGGTAAAAATAACTGTCTGCACCAGTAATTAGCAACACTAAATATGACAGCTCTGATAAGTTCGAGTCTTCCTGCATAAGTCAAGTGTTTTCTAGACCAGTGATGGAGCTTGGATTTGATTTTTTCAATGAGGACTACACAGTCCTTTTCAGAGAGTTTTCTCGTTACTAGAGGTACCCCTAAGTATCTCACAGGCAAGCATCCATGTGTGAAGCCCGTGATTCTGTGTATAACCTCTATATTATTAATTGGGATACCCGCAACATAAAATTCACACTTAGCCGCATTAAGCTGTACTCCAAACATTTCATAGAATTTATCTAGGACAATGTAGTCCTCAAACATTAAGTGGGTTAGACCAATCTTCTTGCATTTAGGGTGGAAGCTAAACATACCTCGTGCCGCGGCTAAATTAAGAAGTCTAGAGAGCACAATCATTGAGATGTCAAATAAGAAAGGAGAAAGGGGGTCACCTTGCCTTATACCCCTTGCACCCTTAAAGTAGCCAATCAGACTGCCATTGAAAGAGATGGAGTATCTAGCTTCTGAGTAACAAGCTTCAATCCAAGAGATTAAATTACGTCCAAATTATTGCTTTTGAGGTAGTGTGGTGTTCGAAGAAAAATTAGAAATTAGAAAGTTTTTAGGAATAATTAGATATAAAATCATTGTTCAAAGACCTATATGATATTTTAACAGTGTTTAAGAGTAAAACTAAATATTAACCTTTTTATTAACGTTGTCACATCATTACTTTAACAGAGATGATGAAATGATCATTTTATAACAAATCAATAAAGTTAGTAACTAATTTATTACTTTTGAAAATTCGGTGGAGAAAACAAAAATTTTCTCAAACATCAGTGGCCATTTATATAGTTCATCCTAATATTTACCACCCCAATCAATAAGCAAAATACATTAGTAAAATAAAGAGTTTTTCAAGTATGATGTAACGTGGAAAAAAGCAATGAGCTCGTCCTTTAATTTCAATATATTATTTAAAAAAATATTTTTTTTATAAATATAATATTAATCCATAGCAGCCAAAGACAATATTGTTGGGAGAGATTGGTCAACAACCAACTTGTCTCTTCAAAAACATTTTATTTATTATTAAAGTATAAAAGACACAGAAGTGGTGCTTGACTTTGACAAAAAAACCTAACCGACAAATAATCCAATCTAATTTTCTTCTTGGAAATTAATTTTGTTTTGCTATGAGCACATTCTTCATGTTTCTACTACTCTGTAAATATATAAATAAACCCCCTCCATCTTTTAGGACATGCGACCCTCTTTCATGCCAGCTTCTTCTTCTTAACTGGTCAATTTGAGGCAATTTCCAGTGTTTTTGTGTGTGGATAAACTCAATCTGGGTCTCTGTTAAAAGATTGAAAAGAACAAGTATTGTTGGGAGAAAAAAAGCCATGGATGCTTCTTCTTGGGTGGATACTTCATTGGATCTCAGTCTTTCTTCAGCTAGGCCCATACGACTTGAAGAAACTCTGGTACATCCAAATTTGTTCTGGAAAATTGTTTGATGATTTCTTGTGATTTTCCATGTGTTTTAGCCGAGTTTCCTAATCTGGAAATCTGTTATCATATGTTTCAGAAGAAGGAACCAAATGACAACTTAATTGTGTTTGGAAAGAAACTTTCCGTGAAAGAAGAGGTACGTTTTATGTATACTTAATGGTAATTCTCATCTCCGAAATGAATCCAAGAGATTTGACTTGATTTTCTGAGAATCTGTAAATTTATAAGCCAATTTAATGCTGTTCTTATTTTGCAGACTGGTGCTTTAGTGGACGAATTGAACCGTGTAAATGCAGAAAACAAGAAGCTAACAGAAACGTTAACAGCCATGTGTGAGAATTACAATGCTTTGAAAAGTCAGGTGATGGATTTAATGAGCAAAAGTCCAGAAAAAGAGATTAGCCCTTCAAAGAAAAGAAAATCTGGAAACAGCGACAACAATGATAATAATAATTGTAACTTTGGCATCATTGGAAACTCAGAGAGCAGCTCAACTGATGAAGATGCATGCAAGAAACCCAGAGAAGAAACTATAAAGACCAAAGTCTCCAGAGTTTATGTCAGGACTGAATCATCTGACACTGGCCTCGTAAGATACTCACATGGAATATAAACTTCATTGGATTATAAGTGGTTCAAATTTATTTAATTTCTTATGCAATTTGGTTAAATAAATTCAGATTGTAAAGGATGGATATCAATGGAGGAAATATGGGCAGAAAGTCACCAGGGATAATCCTTCCCCGAGAGCTTACTTCAAGTGTTCTTTTGCTCCAAGTTGCCCTGTTAAAAAGAAGGTAAGCCTTGTTTCATTTCATTACAGTTTGCTCTTGAAATTCCCAGTCAAAATTCATTTAACATTTGGAGCAGAAGATGACTTTTTTTGTCTTTGGTGTTTTTAGGTGCAAAGAAGTGCTGATGATCAATCAGTTATGGTTGCAACATATGAAGGTGAACACAACCATCTTCCCCATTCTCAAATGGAGCCAACATCCGGTCCAAGCCACTATCCGAGCCATGGTTCATCCTCATTGAACCCATCTGGACCAACCATGAGTCTAGGCCTCACTAAACCTAAGCCCAGTGGTGGTGGTGAAGCTAGGAACTGCAGTTCCAGTAAGCCAGAAATGGATTCACCACAAGTCAGACAATATTTGGTGGAACAGATGGCAACTTCTTTGAGTAAAGACCCCAATTTCACATCAGCATTGGCAGCAGCCATTTCAGGAAGAATGTTATCAGCGAAGTCCAATTGAGAATAAAAAATGAATGGAATGTCTCAAAATATAGGGCCAAATTAGAGTTTTTCTCCTTTTATCTTTTATTAGGATTCACATATATACCTTGCTGGGAAAACTATACCGGCCGACAAACAGTTCCTTTCTATGATTTTGTGAAGTATAAGTAATTGTTTTGAACTTAGAACGTTGTAAATACATCATTGCAAAAGAAGAGTGAAATTGAAAACAGAATATGGAATCTGTTCAAGCATCATCGGCTTATTGTAAATATTCTTTTCATTCGAGTAAAAACATAGTCTTGTAAATACAGTTGTAGAGTTTTAAAAAATTGTATTAATAAATTTGTTAATTTTATTAGTATTTTTAAAGTGATTCTAAAAGAACAAATTAAAGGCGTGTAATTAATTGACAATGAAGAAAAAAAAAGCATTCAAAGCTGCTTTGTAAAAAGACAAAATAAATAAGAAAATAAGAACAGGCATGGGCACGACACCTGGAAGAGGTAGGCTATAAGTCCCGTTCCAAGCGTGTAGAGGCAGTCCATATTCTATAAACCACGTTTCGTTTACCAGATTCCATTGCCAATGTTTTCCAGCTGAAAATTCTCTCTGATATTCGTCAAAGAAGTTGTGGAATTTCTACTGAATAAATAATTATAAAAATGCAATACAACAAAACCCCATATCATTATACTCTTGAAAACCTTTCAAGTAAGGACTGCAACTCCACAGAATTGAACTCAGCCTTAAGCTTCATGTAAAAATAGCTACAGAAATTCTTTTCCTTATGTTAAGTTGCTGGAGTTTGTAAAAAGGAATGCAGCTCGACATAATTGAACTCAGCCTTAAGATTCATGTAAAATAGCTACAGAAATCCTTCTCTCTATTTTACCCTTTCAGTGAGTGTCGGTTATGGTATGCGTCTCACGCGGGCATCTTCAATTTTTCTTGAGTTTTTCCAAGCATTCGGAAGGTCATATCCCCATATCTATGTACCAAAATGTGTCTGACACAGATAATTTTAGAAAAATAAAGAATCAAAGCAACATAGATATGATTTGTTATTCATGGACATTAAATACAAGTCATAGTTTACAACTTAGGAATCATCAGACAGACACCTCCACACCACTATTACTGTAAAACTAGTGTTTTTATTACTCCAACCTTAGGAATCATCCGAATTTGGGTAGGAGGGTAAATCAAACAAATAACAAAGACTAGCTGATAAACTAAATCTGAAAGAACATGATTGCAGAACCTGTGCGAAAACATTGGCTAAAACTAATGACAAAGGAGCTCTTTTTAACATACAACTTGTGGATCGGAAATGAGGTTGGGCCAATTGCTTAGGTCATGGATTGGATCCTTGAACCCAATGCTTACCCAAATCAAGTCATGTTTCGGGTCAAATGAGAAGTGTCCGAAATATATGTAGATAACGACGGTGTACGCATGAACCATAAATTATTGCATGGCTAATGGTTACGTGGTTTTGGTCCTTATCCAGTAAGACTCACTTTCTCATTTCCCATCTCTCATTAATGCTTCAAATGACTGTCTCTTATTCCCATATGTAATGGGGTAAGGGGAGGTAAGATAGTAGGTTGCCCCCAACACTAGGTTGAGAGCAACTTCCGTAGAAGATCTCCAAATTATGAAATGCCCTTCATGGGACTCGATCTCACGACCTCAAAATTAAAAACCTTGTGCTCTACCAACTGAGCTGGATGATCATTTCATTAATGCTTCAATTTCTCAAATCAATGAAACGATTGAAGCTATTTATCAACTAATTTCATCTAATTGTTCAATTAACATTGAAATAATTGTGAGATCAATAAAATACTTTATTTTATGAAGAAAAAGGACTTGTAGTTAAAGGCGACTGACTCATTGCAAGTGATGTTTAACGTTTTGTGCTCATTTCCTGATATTTAGCGTAACGCTAAAAGTCTACTTCATAATGTAGCTTAGCTAATTAAGACGGATGTGAATCGAATAAAAATTAGGTTTAATTGCACTCTAAATGATGAATTCTTTTAAAACCATCAATCAATGAAGGATCAATTTTTCCAAAACTGAAGAAGTTCCCTTCCCACCTCTCTTTATTCCACATTTCATCTCTTTTGACTATTGTAATTTGCATTAATAATGGGATAAATTACATATTTAGTCACCTAATTATTTGTGTGATTATGTTTTGATCATTTATTTTTTTTCAAAATCATACTTAACTTTACGTTTTAGTTTCATTTTGATCATCCACCATAAAAAAATTAACAGAGCTGTTGACGAAACATTTTTATTTCTTTAAATAGTGAGATGACATAATCTTATGCTGACGCATCAATATCATCATTAATTTTTTAATGGTGGGTGACCAAAATGAAAGTAAGATGTAACATTAGATATGATTTTGAAAAAATAGTTTTAATGCATTCTAAATTATTAAATTATATTTTGAATTATTAATGTGATTTTCTAGATTTGATCATAATTTTTAGAATGAGTTTATGTTGTTATACACAATATATATATGTAATTAGTTGAATGGCTATAATTCCATGGTCTTTTCTTTTGTTAAGCACCTTTTAATTAGTTTATAGCTTCCTTTACTTATTATACCAAACGGTAACCCACCAAGTTGTAGCAAACTTGATAATATCTAAATCTTTTAGCCTGTGATTTGAAGTCAGATTCTTATTCCTTAATCAACATGTTTGATATATATATATATATATATATATATATATATATATATATATATATAAGCCAAATTAATTACTATTCAAATAGTTTGAACGAATTGCACTTTAATAGTCTATTAATACTAATTAATTACTATTCAAATAGTTTATTGACATATATAGTTGTTTGAATTTATAACTTTCAAAAGATACTTCCTTTTATCTTTAAAGTTATCAATAAGTTCTTATGCTAAGTAATTACGTAATGTTGTAGATTACAGAAATGATTATTACAGATAATTAATTTGATTCATATTTAATTAACTAAAGTAATACGCAGGCATATTATTACACGGGAGTTTAAAATTCTTTAGGTTAAGGACCACACCCCCGCACAAACCTCCATGTGGTGCCAGGTGCCAAGAAGAGAAAAAGACATTTGCTTTTTCTATAATCATTAATCTTTTATTTAATTTTGTCACATAAATTAACAAAAAGGGGGGCTAGAGTCTGCATGTTTATCTCTATGTTTCAGCGCAATCTATGTTGCTTTTTAGAGAGAGCCGCCGCAACATGCACAGCTCCTTCCACAGTTCTTATTTGTCATCGCCTTCTATTATTGTCTGGAATAATATAAAAATAAGAGATGAATCGAAATGTTATATAAAAATATAGTATAACATACATTATATTAAAATATACATAAAATATTATATTAATCTATATGATACTTCAAAATATAAAATTTTCGTTTATTCTGTCCTTCTCTCCCATTACTTTACAATGATAGTTATTGATTTCTTGTTTGTTTAGAAAGATCTAGTTGCTTCAAATAAACTATAGCTCGATCAGATATCGATATCATTCATGATTATGAAAAGGTTGCATAAATTTATTTGTTTCACGCCTTGGGTCGATCTATATATTTGATGTTATTAAAATAACTAATGCATTTGGATTTTGCTTCTTTTCCCTTTTGTTGTTATTATATTTATAGAGAAATTGTATGACGCATAGATGGTAAATTATGTAAATTTTAGTTTTTATAAGTTTATTTATTTTAATGATTTTTTTATTTTTGATTTAGGGTATAAATTTTAAGTTTGTATTCGTACATATCTTAAAAGGATATAAATTTTATACTAGATTAACGGATCTTACCTTATCTAGAGAGTGGATAGAATTCATTTATTTTACACGCTTAACAAAAGATAATACTAATGCATAAATTTTTTACATCAATTATCAAAGTAGATTCATCAAATAATCATATTTTTCATATAAAACAAATGAATTTTACATTATATAAATAAATATTATCAGTACTATATGTATATCTTTTAAACCGACTCATTTGAGCTCGCCCATCCCATGTTAACTAGAGCAAGTATATTATTTCCAATCAAAAGGTATAAAAACATTGACTAACATAGTTGCATGTAGACAAAGCAAAAGAAACATGTCAGATGACAATTTGGTCGATACATAAAGACAATAAAAGAGACGGGAACATTCGACATACAATGAATGCCAAGTGATTCATTGTACCACTTGGAATTTGTTTTGATATATCTTTGAGAGAGAAAAAAATGAGACCTTAAACTATAATGGATTTGTCTAATGTAAAGCAGTGTGCTAAAGGTAAATTGCATCAATTCCTTTACACTGACCCCCCTCCCTTTTTTCTCTGCTTCAAAGCCATGCTTATCAAACTCTATCGGGAATGTCCCATCTTACTCTCAAAGGAATAATTAAGCTCAGATTCCATTATTTCTTAATCATCTCCTTGATAATGTTTTCATGGATGAGACTGTTTGATTCTTGAGAAAAGCAGAATATTTACTTGGGTACTGTAATCAAAATTACACCAAAGGGATTAGATATGGTAGTTTTTTTTTTTTTGGAGAACGTTGCATTAAAACGTTCACTTTTTGTGATTTGAATGGACAATTGGGTTGATAACAACCACAGGCAAAAGGGTCTGTTTGAATTTAGTATCCTTCAGAAAGTGGAAAAGGAAAGATTTTAAGAGAAAATCTTCAAAGGGAATTGAAAAGAAAGATACAATGGAGCCGTAATTTTCTTTATACCAAAGACTACTATTTCACCACACAAATGTGGTGTTTGAACTAAAATATTCTTTAATCTTTTATATATTTAAAGATGATCGATCATACAAGAACTTGTATTGATGATGTTAAAACCTTAGTTCTGAATTAATTAATTAAACTATTATGATTTCATTCTTTTAATAACGTCAAACATTCTAGGCGGTATTGAATTACACCAAGTGGACCATAAAGATAAAACATTAATATGGAACTAGACCAGCCTACTGCCCTAAATATGTAGTATTTTATGGT